TTCTCTAATAAGACAATTTCAGGAATCAACCAGAGAATCTGCAGGACTAGCCTTCATATGAAAATTTGATACTCTCTCTCACAGCTTGAACAAAGACATGAACTGGATGGGCCATTATATTCACCCAAATGACATCAAAAGCCAAGTAGCAGGCACTTACAGCCTACTCTATTGGACTCATTTTGCATGGACCCTTTAATTGACGATTTCTTCCCTTTCTTTCTCTTCCCCCTCTTTTCTGCTTTGTAGTTCAACCTCTGTGCCTCTTGCTCCATATTTGTCATCTGAAGAAGTGGGTTGTGCCCATGAAACCTCATGATACTATTTATATATTTTTGTTAGTCTCTAAGATGCTACAGGACTTTGTTCTTTTAGTTTTTTTAGTTACAGACTAACATGGCTACACCTCTGAGAGTTTTTAATGGAGTAATTGTAAAGAGTGGGGGTTAGCAGCCCCTCAAAAATCATAGGTTGCAGGGGGGGAGGCGGAGGGGAAGTCTCAGGTTATCAAGTACTGCTCAAGGAGTAGGATGGGCTTAGGATTTATTTTTCTACTTCCAAATTGTTTCCACAGCGCCATTTATCTTCTCTGCCTTTGAATGCATCTAATGTAACCTTTGCATGATTGCATAACTTGGCCTGAGAATGCTGGCATGGTTTTTAGGAACTTCTTTCTTCTGCTGTTTCCTGAATTCCCACATTATAGTGTGATCTCTGTGTGGAAAACCGCTAACTTCCTTCATCTGGCAGCGCTTGAGTCAGTGTGTGCCATTAGCTTGTGAGTGCTGCACTAGGTAGAGGGGTGATGGTGCGGGGTCATAAAGGAAGAACATTTTCTGAGGAGAATTTGGATTTCATGCATCTCTCTTTGTTCTTTTCCTGTTCAGATAAAGCTGTTATCTCTGATTGGTTAAAAAAAGCGCTGCCCTAATGTTCTTTAGAATAAACAGAGGAAGATGACGACTTGAGGTTAATATGCCTTGGGCAAGGCAAGTCACTTTTCACTATGTGAATGAAAAATATTTTGCTTTGCTGATGAATCTCCATGCCACAAGTTTTCTTTTGGGATGCGGGTGGAAGGCATTTGATGTGTTGGGATATTTCAGGGTTATTTATAAATCTTTAATCTAAGTTATAGCTATATATTTCCAGTACACTCCTCAGGCACACCATAACTTCTGGCATACTATTCTAGCTGTAATGTAGGAATGTTAATGAATTGTTTACATGTTTTTGTTAAGAATTTCCAACGTATGAGCGTCAGTTACAGAAAAAAGATTATGTATTTATATGCAGGTTTTTGGAAATTTGGGAGAGGAGGGAGTTTGCTTTATTTTCTTGAAATTGTTTCTAGATTATTTTTATAGTAGATTTGTGAACATATGTAAATAACAGTCTTGTGAGTAAAGCAATTAAAAGGTGAAGGGCCACATCAGGCTGTCCTCCCTCACAACAATAGTCCCACTGAACTAACTTGAATAGGAAAAGTTTCAGAGGGATAGCCATGTTAGTCTATAACTGGGAAAATGTAAAAAACAATTAATGGTCTTGCAGCACCTTAGAGACTAACCACCTTAGAGATGGTATCATGAGGTTTTGTGGAAGTGACTTGTGCCCACAAAATCTCATGATACCATCTACATTTTTTGTTAGCCTCTAAGGTGCTGCAAGACTGTTTTTTTTTTTATAAAGTTTTTGAATAGGAAAAACAAGGTGGGTGAAATAATATCTTTTACTGGGCAAGTCTTGTAATGCAAGCAGCACAATTTTTTACCCAGTGGAAATTGCTGTTTGCTGAACACTTTTGGAAATTGGTGTTACTTTAAGGCCTGATCCTGTAAAGTAAATGAAGCTACTCAATAGTGCAAATATTTGCAGGTTTTGGATCTTAAGGTATCAAAGTGGGGAGATGAATTATCATTGTGGATACACATCTTCCCTCCTTTATTGTTCATTTTATTCTTTCTTGAAATTGCAAGTTACTGAAAGAGATAGTCACAAAACAAATAAACACTGTCACTGGTAATCTCCATCCTGCTTTTACAGACAATTAAATGACCTCACAGGGCGGCTATGTGGCAAACAAAGGATTAGCGCTTATTGTATGTAAACAAAGGAGGAGGTGAATTGTGAGAAAGGCAGGGAAATAGTTTGTATATAAATATTCTGCTACCCATTGGACCTTTTGAGAGAACGGGTCATATTGTTATCTCAGACCATATTTGGATGGATCGGGGAATTTGCCTTGATTACAGGGCAGGGGGCCATAGACAGACAGCTGCTATTTGTACCAATGGAGTTTACCTGTTTCATGCTCCGCTTGGGTGCCAATAGTAGCTTTGCCTCTCTAGGTTGGAAGTTTGTACAGTTAAAACCAACGGTTGCGGTATTGCCAATTGCAAGTGTTGAAACACTAACAGGCAGACCCCCAAAATAATGAGATTGGATAAAAGATCATGAGATTTGGAATTATTACATTTTGGGTTCTTTGTCTTCTGTTTGGAAGGCACATTCAGAGTTGTGATTTCAAGCTTTTTTTCTACAATCTGGAGAGAATGAAGCTTCCTTTAAAAAAAAAAAAGGAGATTGAAGGAAAAAGAAACAAATATTGTGAGATGTCATAAGATCGTGAGAGTTGATAACATTATGGCTGTATTTGGGATAAATTTTCAAGTCTCAAGAATACATGGATGGGGCATACACTCTTCTCAAATCTGTCTGTCAGGGCAATTTTGAGAGGGCCATGGGGTTGTAAATGCACAGAATATACAGGTTTGGGATTTGGAAGAATATTTGTTTTATTTTTGAGTGAAACATTCAGCACAGGGGACTCTTTAGTGTCTTGCTTAAATGAATTTATCTAATTGTCATGTATTTAGTTGTCATCTGTCTTTGCCACGCTTTTAATTGTTTTCTGCATTTGGTGTAAATTGGAGTTATTCCGTTGAATCATTCTGACTTGGCTTGATGTTTTTAGAACTGTGGGGCCTAATCCTGAAAACACTTAACTGTATGACTGATTTCACCCATGTGATTTGTCCCACTGAATTCATGCTGCTTTTTTTTCTGCATTGAAGTAAGGATAGATTAGGTCTAAATAGTGTTGCCAACTTTCTAATTGCAGAAAACTGAACACCCTTGTCCTGCTCCCTGTCTCGCCCTTCTCTGAGGCATGGCTCCCCCTCTTGTTCCATTCCCCTCTCCCTCTGTTGCACACTCTCCCCCACACTCGCTCATTTTCACCAGGGGACAGGGGCTTGGGTGCAGGAGGGGGTGAGGACTCCCAGTGGGGGTGTGGGCTCTCAGGGAGGTCTAGAATGAGGGGTTCAGGATGCAGGAGGGGACTCCAGGTTGGGGCAGAGGTTTGGGGTGCAGGCTCTGAGGTGGGGATCAGGGATGAAAGGTCTGAGGTGCAGGAAGAGACTCCAGACTGGAGGGTGGAGCTAAGGGGCTTGGGCATGTGGGAGAGGGGCTTCGGGTTGAGGTAGGGGGTTAGGATATGGGAGGGTTTACAGACTGTGGGCCGGGAGTGTGGGTTCTGGGATGGAGCCAAAAATGAGAGATTCAAGGTACGGGAGGGGGCTCTGGGCTGGAGTAGGAGATTGGGGTGTAGGAAGGGGTATAGAGAGAGGACTCTGGGTGGCACTTCTTGGGCAAGCTCCCCATAAGCAGTGACATGTCCCTTGGCTCCTAGGTGAAAGTGTGGCCAGGGAGTTCCCAGCCAATTACAGCTGTGGAGCCGGTGCTTGGGTTGGAGGTGGCATGTGGAGAACCCCTGGCCATCCCTCCACTTAGAAGCCCAAGGGTCATACTGCTTCTTCCAGGAGCTTCAAGGAGCTAAGTAGGGAGCCTGTCAGCCCCACCAACTGGATTTTTAACAGCCAGAGCCGAGCTGCCAGGGCCCCTTTTCAGTCAGATGTTCCAGTTGAAAACTAGACACCTGGCAACCCTACTAATGAACCCAGATTCTTATATGTATATATATTTATTATTATTTATTTATTAAATATCAGTGAGTAAAAACTGCACTTATGCACGTACACAAGAACATTCCTTGTTTTTGCAACATCACAATTACTTCCTTACCTTGCAAGGATATTGTGAAGCTTAAAATATTTATAAAAGCACCTTAGAAGTCACTGGCTGAAAAGTGAAATCACTATATATTTGTTATATAATTTTACACACATTTTTATATAATTATTTAAACAAATATATTTTATGAGTATTTATAAATCATATTTCTATAGTCAAATATAGACTTCAAGTTTTTACAGCTTGATATTTGTAAAAACATCTTGAAAGTGTTTTTCATCCAGTGATCTCAAAGTGCTTTTACAAATATCAAGCTGTAAAAATATTTTACTGCTTAAAATATGTGTCTTAGTATCCAAATAGGACTACACATATGAACTCCTATTTATATAGAAATTATAGGGCCAGATTGTGCATAAGATAAACACAATGATACACAGTTAAGCTCACAGTGCTTTTTCACTTACAAAGCCCAATTAGCCACTGCAGATAAAGTGCCAACTATTACACAACAAAGTTTGTGCACACATTTAACTTTATTTTCTTTTAAGGAGAATTGCGGCACCTCTCCAAGGTGAAACAAGGTATCCAATTTCGGATGCTACAGCTTCCAATCTGTTGGAAGGTGTTTTAAGGAATTCAAGAGAGATGCTGCTTCTGTTATGTTTTCCCCTTCCGTCTCAAGATAAAAACAGATTTTTTAGCTGCTTTAGGGGGGCTTGCAGTACTTCACTAGTTGTCATTTTCCTTGCAGTATTTCCTGCAGGGGCACTGAGTCCCGGTTACACCTCTCCTGAGACTGGAAGCTCAGAATTAAGTCTCTCTGCTGCTCCAGCAAGAATACAATGGAAGCTTGTCTAGGCTTTCTGGTGTTTTTTTTAAACGTGTGTGGCGTGATGGACAAGTCAGCCAGCCAACAGAAAGCGGCACCGAAGTTGGAGCTGTCCAATAGACATAAAAAGAGTGGCTGGGGGGAGGCTTTCTTTCCCTCCTGACTCCTTCTGTGGCTCTGCAGCGTGCTGAAGCGGCTCCTTCCAGACTGAACTCAGTTCAGCTAAACTTTCGGAGGGATTTTCCTGTGGGGTGCCTCCGGCTGCAGAGCGGCGTTGCAGGGCTCCTGCTAGAGGGAGGTGGAGGAGGTGCGCTTCCTGCATTCCTCTCATAGCACACTCGCACAATCCCAGCTGGAATCCAGGCTGGGGGGAGAGAGAGCGCCAGTCGGAAGAAGGAAAAGGGAAGAGAGACGCTGCTTTGCCTGGGGTTGATCTCCTTTTGCAGGATTGTCGCCTCCCCAGCCATGTTTTCCCATTAATGGGAGCTCAGCCCCTGAGGTCTGCGGGAGATCAGAAGCCTTTGGATTCTGGTTGCACTTCTTGCCTGCTTTTTGCACAGGGCAGCTTTGGAAACAGAAACACTTGGTGAGTGAGGGACATTGATTAAGAGCAGGAACTTCCATCCGAGGCCGGAATGCAGTGTCTGGATGGCCGCTTTCCCTCCCAGGGCAGAGGGGGACTGGAGTTTCCTGTGCGGTTCTGGGGCTGACCAGCAGAATTTGTACTTAGCCAATTGCACTAGGAAGGAGGAAACTTTTAAATGTCTCTTCTCCTTTTTGCCATTCTTAAATAAGCCACGTTCTTTCTCGCAGGGGAGCCAGGCCGCCGGCTCTGACTGCAGTTGGATTTTTAGACATCGATCTTTATTGCTTGTATTAAAAATCCTCCCAACACTCGAGCCACTGATGCGGTCCACATAATCCCCGGAAATCAAACCATTATTTTTTGCAGTTTTAAAAAGTCCACTCTCCGCTCGCTTGCTTTATCGACACGGAGGATGAAGGATTTGCAGTGAAAGCTCGCTGAAGTGCAACATCTCTGCCCTCTCCTGTGAAGCCAGCCTGTTAAATCGTGTGCGGTAAAAGCAAGACAGAGAATACCGTTGGCAGCAAGGCATCCTTTGTGTAGCTGACCCAAAGAGCTGCAAGTGTGCCGTCAGTTTGGGGGAAAAAGAAGAAAATCTTTTGGTCTCCAGCTCACCAGGAGGTAAGAGGAGTGTGGAGCTTGCATTATTTGTGATAGCAATGAACCGAGGTCCTAGGAATTCGATTTTGCTCTCCTGTCTTCTGCTAAGTTTCTTCGTCCATCGCTGTGGTGTCTGAGGACTTTGTGTCGTTATTTGAACCTTCACCTCCTGCAAATATTTAAGCTTAGCCTTGCAGAATTGTCTGAAAGGGCACCCATGACATTTTATTTGCCCTGGGTGACAGGACAAGGCTGGCTTTGCACGAGGCTCTAGTTAACAGCAGTGGTGTTTCTCGTTTTCTTCTACTTCTGTGGCAAAAGAAAAGTTACAACCTGAGTCTACATTTCAAGCTTTTCTGCTTTTATTTTACAGAGAAATATCCCGGGATCAGTGTATGTGTGTGCACGGGTGGTGTGTGTAATCGTGGCTTCCATACTTTATTGATTTTTTTGGTGCTTACATTGAAAGGTAGTTGTATATGAAGTGTTTAATTCAAGTGTTTTTTCTCTGTTGTGCTTATCGAATATAAAAAAAAGTGGTCACCAATGCCCAAAGCTAAGAGTGAGTCTGTATGAGTGCATAACAATGTATTATTTATTAAGCGTGGTTAATGAACTTGTCACTGTACTGAACTTATAGGTAGCGGGGAGCCTGAGGTGCCTCTTAGAATGAAACTTCCAAGTGAGATGAGCAGTTCTGTATGGGCATGCACAGAGAATGACTGGATGAAGGCCCAGTCTCATAACGCGGCAATGTACTTTTTGTTGCATGCTGTTTTCGTTAGTGAGGCTAGTGTTAATCCATAGTGCACATGCACTGCGGCTCAGCTATGAGAGCTGTTTCACTGTGCTTCTAATGTTTCTTTTCCCTCTTCTCTCGCGTTCATTTCCTCCAAAACTCTGTGTCATGGCTACAGAAGTCTCTGTGGGAATCTACCTGGGCTAGGACTGCTCTTATCCATGGAGGGCTTCTGTGTTCCATGTTGAAATGTGAAGTGTCTCCATAGGATGGTTCTGGCTGAGTATTCCCTGTTGCAGTTCCATATTCTTTTCCCTGAGGATAACACAGGAAATTCCAAGTTTTGGCTTGCAACATTTCCTTCACAATATCCCTTTCTTTCTGGAACAGCAACATGTGAAGGGGAATGAAGAGGCCTTGCTCTTCCACCACCATGGAATGGGCAATTGTCAGGATCCTTTAAATAGGCCTTGAATCTCTGCTTAGCTACCCTGTTGGCCCTTCATGTTAGTAGGCCTGGCTTTTCAAGGAAGCAGTAGCATTGATGGCTGACTGGAAATTCAGTTGGGGATCAGATGAGGGCTGGAGTAGGGAGAGGGAAAGGAAAGGGAAGCACACTGTGGCTGCTGATTTGCTCCACGTTTATCACCTCATTTATTTTGGAGACCAAGGCTCCCTACTCCTAGAGTCCTATGGCAGATCCCAAAGTATGCTAGAGAGTTGGTGTTGCGCCTGCTTTTCCAAAGTGGGAAGAGATGACATTTGCTCATGAAAATGGAGTGAAAAATATTGCCCTTTGCCATCCTGGCAGTCTACCGGCTGTGAGTTGAACCTGTGGTCCACATGTAATGTAGAATCTGAGATCTGAGGCACCTGACCATCCTCTTAATTTGAATGCATAATATCTCACTAGTATAACGTATACTTAAAAAGGTGGCTGATTTGGAAGTAGGTAAGGTCATAAGGATCACATTCCATAAGTTACTAGACCGGAATGCCTACATAAGGAATGTCTGTATGATCGATATGGAAGGAATTGGTAAGTATTTATACTTCTGCCCCACCACCTTCCAAAGAGACTATATAATGAAAGTGTCTTTGGAGGGTTGCCTTTTTACCACTTCTCTGTGCTGAAGTAGGTTATATGGTAACACTTGTGTGTACGTTATTGGTGAATTTCTGTGGAATTTCCACGGTGCTGTATATGCCATCCACATAAATAATCAAGGGCACTAATGTTTTTAAATGCAGAATAACTTACAATGCACAAGCACTTAAAGTTGGGTTTGATAGTTTATTTACTCATTATTACCTGGTAGGGATCTTTCCAGGATAAAGAGGAGTTATGATTGTAAATGAAGCACTGAAATACGTTCTTTCAGATGGACCCTAACTGACACAAGCCATTTGCGTTGTAAAAGAATATTAAGACTTTCAGAACAGGAGTATAGAGAATTAAATCTTTTTCCTCTTCCCTACCCCTCTCCTATATAAACAGACTATTTTCTTTTGATATTTAATAGTAGGGCTATAGTATTTCACTGCCAAGAATTCTTTACAAAATGCTACTGAAATTGATGACTTTTAGGTTGCAAACTCTCACATCCCTTTTTTCTCTGCTAAACAGGTCTAGAAATAGCATGTTTCTCAATGGGGATGTCTTACTGGGTCATTGTGATCTGTATTTGTACAGTGCCAAGCACAAAATAAATAATAAAGTAAAACTTTCACATTTCACAACTTTCACAAAATAATAACAATTATGTAAAACTTCTAGTCCCCAATGAGTCTTCCATTTTTTTTTTTAAATTAGAAAATATTTGACATTGATTCAGGGCACTGATATCTTGAAACAAAATTAGTGATGCAATTTTGACGAAGAAATGTAGCGTTGAACGCGACATTCGAAAGAGGTAGACTTCTGATAATTTCCGATTCGACTGTCAACTTCTGTTGATTATCTTTTGTGTGCTGATGTAAAATTATTGTTTAATACTGAGTGTACCTACCCGCTGATAAATTTTTAGGGCACACTTCTGGTTTTCAGTTCTTCATTCAACTAAGTTATTGACTTTTAAAAGTGTCATTGATTTTATCCCAGTGAAAGTACAACAGTTCCTAAATGTTAAGATTTTACATTAGAATTTGGTCTAAATAAAAAAAACCTGGGTCTAAACACTTGTAAACGTAGGGATTTTCGATTTGGAGCAGAATGCTATATGGCTTTGGGACATGTTTTAATTTATAAAGGAAAAGCACATCCTCATTCTTGGCATATGGTTCCCACTCTTGGATTATGTTATCTTTTTCAATAATAATTTAAAAATAAGCAGGAGACCCTCTTTTGTCTCCCCCACCCATCCCAAACTTTAATGGTACATCCTGTTTTTATGGACTTTTGGTGCTAATCGTAGATGTTCATTGATTGGGAAAGTCTCTTGGAAGATTTTCTCAGGGTAATAACCTTGCAGAGTTTTTCTCTTATTGTGGATGATGTGGGTGGGAGTGGAATGTTCCTTGTTGCTAGTGTTTGCTGCTAGGTATGCCCCTTCCATGGAGACCAAGTGTTTGTAATATTGTAAGAACAGTCATGCTTAGTGACTGGCAGTAAGGTAGAAGGCTCTTTCTCTCCTTATAGCCAGTTGGAATATAATAAGGATGTGGCTTTTTTGGCTGTTCAGATAAGTGTTCCAAGCTGACTGTTGCTGTAGCTATGCAGTGCCATTAAATAGTAGAGGATTTACCAGAACCATCCATTGTGCAGTGTATAGTGGGGATGCTGAGAGCCACAGAACCAAACTGTAAACCATAATGGAAACTTCTTCAAGGCAGGTTTGGCCCATCTTGTAGTTACTTTAGATCTTCTATAGCCAGCTTGTTCACAGCAAGTGCTCTGTTGGTGGTCAGGATAAACGTTATACAGGTATCTTAAAGGCCAATGTGAAGTCACGGGGCATATCTCCTAGTGACCTGGAAATCATAGCACAGGACGGATTGTTCTGATAGCAAACTTTTGTGCAGGCTCTCAAACATTTTTAAAGTCATCATACTCAGACATTACAAGAAAAGTGTAGGATCTGAAAAGAGTACACCACGCACACATGGCGGGTTTTTAATGTGACATCTGTAATGAGGATGGTAAGAAACGAGTATTTTGCTAATTATGCAGTCGATAAAATTTGTATCGACTACATGGTTAGTTAGTAAGGGGAGCCACTCTGCTGAGCCGCAGTGGGGGTACTTCTCAGAGCCGGTGAGATGGGACTGAGTAGTCTCGGCTTGCGCTGGCTCTGGGATTGCTGTGCCTTTGCCTTTTAAATATAGTAAGAGCCTAGCAGCTCCTACTACATTTAAAAGGCAGAGGCACAGCAGTCCTGGACCAGTGTGAGCTGGGACTGCTCAGTCCCAGCTCACGCTGGGTCCAGCAGCCCCTGTTCGTGGCGGCCCAGACTGACCGTGTACAGGGGCTGCTCCGGAACTAGCCCCTATTTGAGGTGGCTGGGGCTGGCTGTGGGCAGGGGCTGCTGCCGGAGCAACCTCTCCTACTTTCTCTGCCCCTGCTGCCTCTGATAGAGGCAGCATGATGGAGGGGGGAGAAGTGGCACTGCGGAGCCGGTGCTGTGGGGAATAGGCTTTTAAGCCGGCTTCCCCCAGCACCAGCTTCCCCCCCCCCACCCCATGCTGCCTCTCATACAGAGGCAGCATGGGTGGGCGGAAGTGAGGAGTTGAGTACTCCACCTGAATGTCCAATAAGCTTAGTCTTATCAGGTAATCAAGTAGTTGAGAATTCACTTACATCCCTAATCTATAATTGGATTTGCTGATGGATGATTGGCTTTGTCGCTCACCAATGGCATCATAGAAGATGAGATCCATTGATTAACGGTTCAGTCCATATTTTCTTGGGTGGCCTTTTGTCTGTTCCTTGGATTTGCTTTCTCCCCTGTGGGGCATTATCACTTTAGGGGTTGAGCTTTTCCACAAGGTGCTGAATTCCTCGCCCCTCCTCCCAATATTAATTTATTCAGCTGAAAACTATCTTTAGATCAGTGATACTCAGACTGAGGCCGAGGAGCTGCAAGTGTTTCTTTAATGTGTCTCCTACAGCTTTTAGCAGCACATGATAGTAAAACACTGTGTGATTTAATTATTAACCAATCACGATGCTTTTACTATGTTACTGATCATTTGTAGTTGATAAAATGATAATAGTTGGTCACTTCAGTCATTTTGCTGTGAGAAAATATAGTAAAGGAAACAATGAATTCACACTACATGTAGC